TACTCACATCGGTTAGCTGGCTGCACAATATTTTCAAAAATAGACCTAGTGAAAGCTTATCATCACATACCAGTTTTCAAGGACGACATACCCAAAACGGCTATAACTACCCCCTTTGGAATGTTCGAGTTTCCGTTTATGTCGTTTGGTTTGAGGAACGCAGCTCAAACGTTCCAACGGTTTATTGATGAGGTTCTTCGAGATCTAGATTGTTGCTTTTCGTATTTAGACGATATAATTCTATTTTCCAGAAATAATTCCGAGCACCTGGAACACCTGGAGAAGGTATTTAGCCGCCTACAAGAATATGGGATCCTCGTCAACGAAGCTAAGTGCAGTTTTGGCCAAACTAAGGTAACATTTCTTGGTTACTCTATCTCTGCATCGGGTACAAAGCCTACGGAGGAGAAAGTAGCAGCTATCCAGGAATTTCCCCCACCCAAGACTGTGGGAGGCCTGTTGCGTTTCTTAGGAATGCTAAATTTTTATAGGCGTTTTATTCCTCATGCTGCAGAAGATCAGGCACCGCTACACAATATGTTGGCTGGAGGAAAGAACAAGAGTTCTCAACCGTTGACCTGGACACCAGAACAGCTGTCTGCATTTGAGACGTGTAAGGCAAGTCTCTCCAGGTCAGCTCTTTTAGCACATCCTTTGCATAACGCACCGCTTGCGCTTGTAACGGACGCTTCTAACGTAGCACTAGGCGCGGTAGTACAACAGCTAGTAGAAGGTAGTTGGCAACCGTTAGCTTTCTTTTCAAAAAAATTAAACAGAGCTCAGCAGCAGTATAGTGCTTATGACCGTGAATTGCTTGCAATATATGAGAGCGTTAAGCATTTTCGCTATTTAGTAGAAGGCCGTCACTTTACAATTTTTACAGACCACAAGCCTATTACTTATGCTTTCCTGCAAAAAGATCGGAAATGTTCCCCAAGGCAGTTCAATTATTTGGATTTTATTTCCCAATTTACCACAGACATTAAGCACATTTCGGGCAAAGAAAATATAACTGCTGATGCATTGTCTCGTGTAGAGGTTATATCTATCCCTCCTGATTTTGAAACGATAGCACAGAAGCAGCATAACGATCCAGAAATTCGTGAGCTATTGGAAAATAATTCTTCTTCCTTGAAACTTCAGAAAGTTCCAGTACCAGGTACGGATATTACCCTTTACTGTGACGTTTCTCAGTCGAGACCCCGTCCATACATTCCGAAGGAGCTGCGCCGTTTTATTTTTGACAATGCTCACAACATGAGCCATCCCGGAGTTCAGCCCACTACAAAACTAATCACCGACCGATTTGTTTGGTCTTCTGTGAAAAAAGACTGTCGTGATTGGGTAAGAAGTTGCATATCATGCCAGAGATCTAAGGTACAGAGACATACCTCTTCTCCCACAGCTGACTTTCCATTAACTGCCCACCGATTTAGTCACATACACATTGACTTAATAGGTCCACTCCCACCGTCCAATGACTTTAGATACTGTCTTACGGCTGTGGATAGGTTTACCAGATGGCCAGAAGTCATACCACTTGTTAATATTACAGCTGAATCCGTAGCTAAAGCTTTCTATGATGCTTGGGTAACACGCTTTGGGTGTCCGGAAACTGTGACAACTGACCAAGGACGTCAATTTAATTCGCATTTATTCAAATCTTTGACAGATCTTTGCGGAATTCGACTACGTCATACCACCGCTTACCACCCAGAGGCGAACGGAATGGTGGAGCGTTTTCACCGGACGTTAAAAGCTGCGATAATGGCCCACGAGACTACACGATGGACAGACGTGCTGCCTACAGTACTCCTTGGAGTGCGTACTGCTTGGAAGTCCGACATGCAATGCTCTGTTGCTGAGATGGTATATGGTGAGCCTCTTCGGATTCCTGGTGAGTTCCTCCATTCTAATAACTCCCAGTTACCTCAGCCATCAGACTTTGTGTCTAATCTGCGCATTCATATGTCACGCTTGAAGCCAGTGCCAGCATCGCGACATGGTCAGAAAACCATTTTTGTCCACCAAGACTTACCAACAGCACAGTACGTATTCCTCAGAAAGGATGCTTTACGTGGTTCTTTGGAAGCTCCATATAGTGGTCCTCATAAAGTTTTGAAACGGACAGAGACAACAGTAACTGTTGAATTGAATAGAGGACCGGTTACCGTTTCAATAGACAGAACCAAACTAGCATTCGTTCTGACGGAAGCGAAGAATGCACCACCAAATAATCCTACAAATCGCCCTGAGCCCGAACCTGTCAAAACTACTCGTTCGGGGCGACATGTTAAATTCCCTCATTATTTTTCCGCAGGGTATTGATTCTCCCAGGGGGGTGGTGTTGCACATCACTACGCGTCGTCGTGCCCTCATCACTAACAGCGGCTACGTCACGAACGCGTATGTCGCGGGGCGCGGTATGCGGGAGACGCGGACCGGTCTGGAACCTGCTCCCAGTCGCTTGGCCGGCAGCGCAGTGTGCTACGAATCACCTCGCACACAACTCCACGTCACTCGTCCTTCCGTCTTTTCCAATACAATTATTGTTAATATCTCGTTAATTATTATCAGTATACGAATTGTATTTCTTCTACGGTGTTTCACTTCGTATCCGCTCGCTATTTGTAGGGATAGTAACATTACATCCTCAAGTCTTTAGCTCATCGGGAAGTTAGTTTAAAATCAATTGAAAGATTTGTACCGAACAGACAAATAGACAAGAAAACAATTTAATATTGTATTGTCATCCACTTCTGGCCTACAGTCAAAATTTCAAGTCTCTAGGTCTAGCTCATCTGGAGATCGGGAAGTTAGTTTAAAATCAATTGCCAGATTTGTACCGAACAGACAAACAGACAAGAAACGGACCTAATAAAAACGTGGTAATAAATAAAGATTAAGATACCTATAAAAACATCACATTCAAATATCAATTAGTTCCTATACATTTACAAGAGAGCCCCCCTTAAACAAATCAAATAATCATATTAGGTACATACGTGTGTGTATATGTGTTTTGTTTTGACTCACCTTTTTCAAAGAAATTCCTGATATCCATTTGACGGAGTAAATCTTTCCAGTTGTTGCGCAGTAAACGTAAATCTCGTGTCGCCGCAACTAAACTATAAGACACTATTATGGCGCATTAAATATTCGCTCGTATTAAACTCCGAACTAAATTGATTGTATTCGAAATTTCGAACTGAATTGCCTTGCTCTGCCTCACGAGCGTGCTTATATATCCAAACATTCTCGCTCCCGAAATACGTAGAAAATACTCGACTCTGTTGCCATCCTTGTCTCATACTTGCTATCACTGTCTTTACTTTCCAGAATAGTCCATGTTAGAACGTTCTTCTTTACTGGAAAAAGCACTGTCGAGTGTCGTCGTCCGTAACTAGATAGCGCTAGCGCTAGACGTTGTTTTCTCCAAATTATATTCGGCTTTAATCCTAGATGGCTCTGATTATCTCGTCGGGAGCGGAAACTACGAGATACGACGGTTTCGCGGAAGATATAAATTATATTGCGTCGCTATTATATCGAATGTTGTAGAATATTAAATTATAGATAAAAAAAAAATCGAAATATCTGACTGAAAAGATGTTTTGTTTCCAACACCTCATTTTGCGCAGAGTAGGTAACACGTTTTTAGTTCCCACTTGCCAGGAAAATTGATGTTTATTTTATCTTCTAGGGGGGGGGGGGGGGGGGGGGCAGCTGGGCACTAAGTCTATTGTTATCTGCGAATGACTCCACCCACCCTATCCACGCCAGTTTATCAGTAGTTCATAGTTCTATCACACGAGTGCCTATCTTTTATTAGATACCAAGGTAGATATTACGAGCAAATATTGCCTTTAACATGTACAATATGTCAAAAACATATATTTAGAATAGGGATGACAAGTAAACAAAATTATTTTTTATTTTGTCAATCAACCAAAAATTACAAATATAAACCGCGACAAAGTTTCGGAGTCGGGGCTCGTGGCGACACTTTTTAGTATTAATGGTACGAAAACGTGACGTCACGCGACTTTTCAAATCAATATATTATGGGTGTATTCCGAAATATACACCGGTACGCTGGCCAGCGGAATTGACGTCATGAATCGACGCCATGCTGTTGATTCGTTCCAAATACACTCATCAGCGCGGTGACGTCATAAACTAGGGCTATATTCAAGCAGTCTCCTGTTTGTGTGCAACGTTCATGCTCCAAAAATTATAATAAATTTTAAACCTAGAATTTTAACTGTGATTATTTGAAAAGAATGGAAGTGATAGATATTATCACAGTATTCTCACCAGCATAATATGGCGCACACTAGTGCAATATGGCGTCTAAATCATGACGTCATTACCGCTGGCTAGCGTACTGGTGTATATTTCGGAAAACACCCTACGTATCATTGTTTTATTTTAACTAGCTGTGCCAGCGAACTTCATACCGCCTAAAAAAAATAGGGATTCGTGGTAGAAGGGTGAAAATTATGAATTACGGGTTGTATGTATTTTTGAATGATGTATCATAAAAAAATAAAATCAAAAATATTGGTCCAAAATTAAAAAAAATAAGGATCCACCCTATTTACGCAACACTGCTACGCAAATCTTTCATACCTGGACGACTTAGCGACTACCGAAATACAAAATAAAATGTCGGCAATACGTGCTTATGTACGAACCTCTACGAATTTGTGTTGCCAGTAGTCGCTTAGAGACCAAAGTCAGGTATTTAAAGAAGATTTACGTAGAGTTGTATACGAAGGGGCCAAATAATAATAAACACGGCAAGTAATGGTGTGCTTCAATTTTATTACGATCATAAAACAAATTTGAAATAAACATCGTTACAGATGTGAAAGAAATACTGTTACAAGTAAACTTCTACTCATCCATTACACACACACACAAAAATTAAAATTATATCAGACTTTATATTTTTACTAGTGTAAAAATGTCAAAAACTCAAAACAAGAAACTACTTGGTAGCTATAAACAAATTCACAAATTAAACGTCATTATTTTAATTAGCAGTTGATTCCAATTGACGGGGTGAAATTACCGCAGTGATTTGCGGGATTGTGCGCTGTATACGCTGGATCTGTTCGTTGTCTCCTCTATGCCGAGTGTCACCACTCTCAACGACACTGTGGACCGCCGAGCTAAAACGATTAAACAATATTCATTTTTTAATCAAAGTTATATATGTTGTTGTAAAACGTTACGATGCGTTACAGGCGTTACGTAACATATTTTTTTTATTGAAATAAAAAAAACTATGGTATTTAACAAGTTCTCACATCTCACAAGTTAGCAACCCTTTTCGTTTATGGTTTACGAGGAACCCCCTGATTATATTGCACGACATTATTATTTTGCTGTCCCAAGATTATAATTTAAAAAAAAAAACTAAAATAGGAAAATGCATGAGAAATACAATGGTGGATGAAGCCAAAAAATGACAGAGCCAAGTCAGGAAAACGGGGTAATTAAATTTTAGAATTTACTAATCTTAAGAAAACAGTCTATTAGGACTTTGAGTCCGTTTAATATATTTGAAACTGAAGCAAATCTTTATTAAATTACTAGCCGTGCCCCGCGGTTTCACCCGCGTTTTTCTCGTTTCCGTGGAAATACCGAGATAAAATATATAGGTACCAACTCTTAACATCTTACACACGTGATAACTTTTAAACGAAATATCCGATTGAGATGAATCAAAAAGTATTTTACTTCTACATAAATACTCTTGATAACATAATGCTTAATTTCGATAAAGATTATTATTACGATACATATTTAACGTAGTTTTTTTTTCTTCAGACGATTTAATAATTATTTTGAATACAAAATCGGTTATTGTGATTAAACCGTGATAGCTAGATATATGTTCTCGCGGACTTTTTTGTAGGTCTTAATGGGATCTACAAACCCGTAGTACATCATTTTGTTCTATTGTCAATAGATTTTGCAGCGCACGCAAAAATAGGTTTTCGATTTTACACCTTGTGTTACAAAATAGCAATTTTATTACGGATCCCTAATTTTGAAAAAAAAATATAGCATATAGCCTTCCTCGATAAATGGACTACCCAACACTAAAAGAATCATTCAAATTGGACCAGTAGTTCCACAGATTAGCGCATGTATTGCGAATTACAAATCGATTGTTTTAATTATTAATTACTACCCAAACGTAAGTAAAGTAATTGAGCGACTTTCCGGTAGTTTGCGCAAATTAGTTGTGACATTTGGGTAAAAAATGATCAGTTGGGTGTTACGTAACGTTTATGGGGGGAGGGCAGGAAAACGTTACGGCACGTTACATGGGAGGGAGGGAGGGAGGGTAAAAAATCTTGAAAATTTGCTTTACGCAATACTTGAACGCCCCCTTGAGCGGATAATCCAAATTTACTATGAGCACTAGAAAGTTCAGTATAACAAACAAATACCAATTAAATAAAACTAGTTTTTACGGGTTAAACGAAACTCTATTTATTTATTGACGTTTCGTAGCCTTTACAGACTTCGTCGTCAGAATAAAACTTTTATTTAATTTGTCGAGCTACATTCGAAAGACTTTTATTGAGCGTTCGGTTATTTCATTGTTCGATTTTTAAAGTTTTATTGTCTATGTATGAATTTATTATTTAATTTACTTAATAAAGTATTTTATTTAAAATTCTTTTTTGTAATTTTGAGTTTATTTATTTGACCCTAACTACCGTAAACTACCACCGGTTCCAAAATTGGGAGACCTTTCCGAGAAGAACCGGCGAAACAAACTCAAGAGTCTCTCTATCTCTCATCTCTATTCTTATGTTAAATTATGCAAACAAAAAGAACTAATAGTATCTGATGGTCTTGCAGTGTGTGCTCGGAGTTGGGATTTTATCTCCTGTATAATATATTCCCAAGCTGGTGGTATATACCAACCATCTTCCCTATTGAAATTTGGATATTTTTTAATATCAAACCAACATTGGACGATCCACGGAGCTCCGTAAGATGATCGCGTAGTCAAAAACAAAATAAGGCATTATTTAACTATTGATAATTAAAAAATTACCTTTAATGCATGCTATTAAGGTCTTAATTAAAACGCATGCGTTGTAAGAGTTATGACAGTTCGAAATGCAAGCTCGTAAAATTTTACGACTTATTGCTATACGCGGAAGAATATACATAGACCTTATTTCTTCGATTCTACGCGCAATTCTGAATGCGCTTGCAGCGCATAGAGCAGACACGGACCGCGAGCAAAAGAGACGGCAACATAACCGACCATGCATTTGAATATCACAAATATTTTCTATTAAATGAGTTTATAGTAACTATTAGAAAAAAATTGCTTTCAATGTGTTAAATTAACAAATATTGGTTAGATACTTGCCGAAAAAACGACACTTTACGTACTAAATATAAGTATTTTTTTTCGCATTTTTCACGGAGCTCTGCAGCATCTGGACTAATCAACGGTCCGCGCGTGACTGTAAACCAAGAAGTGCTTGAGTGGTGTTCAAGCACTTCTTGATTGATACACATTTTGAGCGCACGTGGTAAATAAATATTCTAGATATTTAATATTGTTGTTTTTTAAAGTTTGATTTTGGATTTTATTATAATTTAATGTTCGTCTTCAGTTTACTTATTTTGTCGCCTACTCAAATAATTCATACCGATCAAGTTAATAAAACAGTATCTCATCATCAGTCGTTAAGATTTTTTTTATCGCTCGTTTTGTTATTTTCCTTTACCAATTTATCTCATTTCTTGTATTGGTAAGTTTTTATTACGCTCTCAACGCCTCAACTTCGTCTGGGTGGACTTCAACATTTTATAGATGAATTTTTAACGCTGCAGATATACCTTCATATTGATCCGCCCTCTTTTGACTTCTGATTACTTTTGTTTTCTTTTTCTATCTAGCTGATTAGGAACATACATACAGGCTACAACGTGAAATTTGTTTTATAACATCTCGTGCGCCAAAGGTCATACGCCGCTCTACTAAAGTGCATGGGGCATACTCCCCTATGTGGCCCCCCGCGGGGTGGAAACGATTGCATTTTTTGCCGATTTCTCTGTTATTTTGTAAGAATAACATACACAAAGTATATATATTTGGATTCTCCATAAAATTTACTATAAATCAGTGTCTACACAATGTATGGCTGTAGGATGAGAATTATTTTCTTATTAATAACGGAAATTTAATAAAATATAAGAGTACCTTGTTCGGGAATGTCTTCAATCAACTGAAAAAGAAGAATTTTGTGAATAAATTTCTGCGAAAACATGATATGACGGTAAATATAGTACAATCAACCTCAGGCGACTTAAATATAATCCAATAACTTTGAGCTTGATATTGTTTGAAATGCGATTTACAATCTATTGAAAAAAAACTGGACAAGTGCGAGTCAGTCCACTCCACCCACCGTAGGTTCCGTACAAATTGGTAGGTACGCAACATAAATGGCAGTGTTGCTTTTCCCGTTAATAATAATAACAATCATTTACTCATAAATATCATTTCACATTTTAAGTAACTATTAGTCTCATTAAGTCTGGGGTTATACATATAAAAAGCTCAATAAATGGACCCCTAACCCAGAAACTAGTAAAAACTGTATTATCAGGGTTAGTGATTTTTTCCCCGTATTAAGATTTTTTTTACAGCTTCAAGGGACCGAAGACCCCAGTATATGGTTTTAATTTTCACACGTTCTTAAGAAAAAGGATTATCACAGACTGACAAACGGACAACAATGTGATCCTATAAGGCCTCCGTTTTTTCTTTTTCGAGGTACGCCAAATGGATAGTTAGTGGAAACTAGATGTGGCACCTAGAACATTTTTATCAACAGAATATAGTTTTTGTTATCAAACTAATGGCTGGAGCCACAAAACTACGGAATAAAGAACTAATCGGGGTGATGAATCAATCTCAATAATACCAAATTGCTTTTGTTATTATTGTATCTAGGTTACCGCTCGCGGCTTTGTCCGTTGGCTATTGATTTGGAAGATTTATTTCTCTCCCCAAGCAAAGGCTTAATTAATTAGATCTCTGATTACTCAGTAAAAAAGAATGTGGTAGTATTTTTCTTACTGAATCTCCTGATGGGGCTATAAAGCTCTCTTTATTATTATTGTATCTAGGTAATAAAGCTCTCTTTATAGCCCCATCAGGAGATTCAGTAAGAAAAATACTACCACATTCTTTTTTACTGAGTAATCAGAGATCTAATTAATTATCAACTCCTTTATATAAATAGCTTTAAGCGGATGCCCACTCTGTCTGCATGGAGAAAATGGTTTTCCATGCAAACTTCCACATCCCTTTTACCCCCCTTAAACGTTGGTTTCTGGGGTAAAAACTATCTTCTGTCCTTTCTCGGGACTCACAATATCTCTGCACCGAATTTCATCTAAATCAGTTCAGCAGTTTAAACCGTGAAAACGTAACAGAAAGACAGACGGACAGACACACTTTCACATTTATAATATTAATATGGAAGTATGGATAATGCTTTAACGTCTTCTTCAAGGCCAGCGTGAACAGGCATCTTCTAGGCAGGCGTGTACCATCCTAGGCCTCATCATCGCTTTCCATCAGGCGAAATTGTGGTTAAATGCATTGCCTATTAAGCATTAAAAAAAAACCTAGTTTACAGACTGGCCGTCGCGTCGTTTAAAATAAGTTATTGAAATTAAATAGTTATTATAAAAATTTTTCAGCATTTAAGATTTTTTAAATCTAAAGAAAAATTTAAATGAAATATTTTTTACAATTAAGTGTAATTGTGCAAATACATACACCCAAATGTATTCTTTTCATAAATTTGAGTGATTACATTCCTGATATACAAAATTAGTTTATTTCAGTAACTTAACCTACTACAATGTATGAGTTTGGTACATCCTTTTAAGCAGTAAAATTGCTTGTGTTAGAATGTTTGTGAGAGATATGATTATAACTTACAGCGCTCTCCTGCACTTTAGGCGCCAAACTCCTGCGGAATGCAGACAGTTGCTTTGTGTATCCGGACGCAACGCTCACACCGCTGTGGATGGACTCCGATGACGAAGAAAACACCGTTTCTGAGGATTCATCATCATCATCATCAGCCTTTTAAGGAATCCATTAAAAATAAGTTAGATGAAATAAATACATTAAAATAAATAAGTAATTTGCTTACACCTTGATTAGATAGCATAAGATTATTATAATTTTTCTCTTTTCTTGAAAACTCTCAATTTAGATATTAACGGTGTTGGCTTCACAATTAATAAGATAAATTTTACATATACTATGAACTAATATATATTGTGAAACTGTTGTTTGACAAAAATAAATGAAAAAAAAAATCCCCACTGCTGGGGCACAGGCCTTCCCTATGCATGGAAAAGGGACTTTGGGCCATGATCCACCATGCGGGCCCAGTGCGGATTGGCGGGTGCTAACGACTGCAGATGCAGCCGGGACCAACGGCTTAGCGTGCCTTCCGAAGCACGGAGGAACTCGAGATAGAAGATTTTTGGTCACCCATCCAATGACCGACCACTGCGAAAGTTGCTTAACTCCTCCTCCTCTGAGGATTAACATTATCTATTTATTATCATAACCTAACAAATTAGAAATTATATGGAATACGAAATGCATTAAAAAGTGGTTCCACGCAAACTGCAATCAAATGGGCGGGGCATTATTTGTCCCAATTATCTGTCCCAATGAATGGATAGCCAAATCCATTAGCAGATATTTGACTTTTGTAAAATTATTTTGTTTTGTTTTTGTGCCTGTCGCGTTAGTATAGAAGTTTAGCTGTATTCACCTTTTTAATAAACGAACTCGTTGCAGAAACCTATTAATGTTACTGCTCGGGCACAGGCTTTCCAGAAAATAGGGAGATTGACCCATGACCCAAAACGCCCGCCCATTGCGAACTGTTCCCTTAGCACGAACCATTATCGAATTGGAATAGTTGAATTTGATTTAGGTATACGTCAAACGTGTACTGATTTTTAGTTCTCGTTACGTCCGTTGTGGCGCTGCTGTTCAAATTTCCATACAAAATTTGAGATTGACATTTCGTACTCGCAAACGTTACGAATTCGATATTGGTTCATGCTAAGGGTACAGATGCAGTCCGAACCATGAAGAAGCTAAAAAATTGAGATGGTAAGTTTTTGCTCACCCATGTAATGGCCTGCCTTTGCGAAAGTTGCTTAACTGTATCAATCGCATACCGAACGCGTTACGCACTTGCGAATCCAAAAGCGATGTTGATAAGACAGATAATTAATACAACAAATGATTATGAAATAAAGACTAGTTGTTTAAAATGTCATACGGATCGACGCATGTTACTCAATCACGTAAACTTGTCTATAATAGGGTAATTGACAAGTTTTAGAAAACATTCTTACGTTATCTACTAATGTTTATTATAATTATATGTTCTCTCAGAATAATAGAATTAACGCTTAAATTCATAATAAATACAGATGACAACAATTTTTTTTCATACTGTTAAATAAATCTATTCAGTATTTGTATCAGTCGTTAACTTCACGGCTTTTAATACTTGCCATCAGTTTCAATAGTAATTTCTTTGTAAGGTGCTGCTTGCTTCGAATCCGATATGAGCCTGCAATAAAAATATTACAGTCAATAAAACCATGGATATAGTTTGGTTTTTGATACTTCTTCACAGACATTATTTTAAGTAAGTTATAATTCTTAGGTAATTTTAATTACGCATGTGTTAGTTAATGAAGAGGGTACGATGGCAATCCTATGTGATGGAAAATATATACCTATTAAGACACTCAACGCTTCACTAACATTACACTTTGCGCAATATGAAATGAACAACAATAATATATCCTTAGTTATCAATACCAAAAAAAACGAGCGAGCCTTACAGTAGTCGCGTATGAGGTGTAACATTTGAAACCTCACCTTATATTAGTAAAAAAAGAAATAAAACCTACTACAAAAGGAATAAGCCATTTGAACATTATGTTCTAAAATCAAAAAATCAAATATAAGAGCGCGCGTGAAATCACTCCCACATATTGCGGGAAAGCGAGAGAAAAGATGTTACACGTCAAAAACCCCTAAAAAAGACCTTAATATCAAAGTATTTCATCTTTATCAGATAATTTCTTCATATTTATAATGCTATAGGATAGTTAGCTATACCTATACGTAATGAAACCTGGAGAAAAGCGTACTTACCTCTAAATCAAAGAGTGTAATCGTCGCAAGTCAGAGGACAGTAGGGCGGCGAGACGGGCGCGGTGTTCAGATAAGATTTTACCCATGGAGGTTAGAAAGAAGGAGAACGATGGCTCTAGAAAATAGTGTCCCAGAAATATGGACAAAATAAGTGCGGCGCTGCGATCGCTAAGTTGTCTCAATAAAAGCGGGCGGTTGTGCGGTAATTTCAAATTTGTACATTATTCAACTAACTTCATCTATGTACTTGTACTCATAAATAGCTAACTTCACAGATACTACTTACCGACGGCAACGCGACTGGTGGCTGAAAAATGAACTATAAATTCTACAAATTATCAAGGACAGGCGGGCTTATGCTTTAGCACGTAGCGATCGTTCTCCTTCTTTCTAACCTCCATGATTCTACCATACAATGCTTTATTATAACGTACTAACCTCTGAATGAAAGAGTGCAATCGGCGCTGGTGCCGCGACAGATGGCGCTGCAAGTCAGTGGAGGAAAGTAGGGCGGCGAGACGGACGCGGTGTTCAGGTGCGCCGGCGCAGACTTCAGATAAAGAATGTAAGGCATTGCTAGCCGCTTCTGCGTAATCGCGCACCCATAACGCCATCTAATGCGTTAAGGTCAAAATATTAATAAAAAACGTGTATTTCAGTAATGAAGGAGCGAGATCATTCGACGCTAATATTAATATACTTAAAAGAAGATCTCATCCCTATTTCATTTCAACATTTTTATGTTGGCAAATGTCTGAGTTCTGGAGATTTGAGTATATCGAGTTGCGTCTACATAACTAGCAACATTATATTATTGGGATTGCAAACACATGCACCATGCACCTGTTCAGCCTCAATTCCAAATCGCTGGATTAGGTAAGGTTTTCGACAAACACCTTTGTGTTTGCGCCACACGATTTGTACAATCATTATTAAACAAGCAGTGCAGTGCAGCACGTAAGTTTGTCGTGCGCACTGGAGGAATGGACGCTTACACATGACTATTCGAATTTGCCTAACTTATATTGACATCAGTATATCCTTATCATGCTTTATAGGCAATGAAAAGGAGAGGTTGTTGTGAAATTAAGTAAGGCAAATACAAATAGTCACTTGTAGTGCCATCAACTGGTAGAAACAAAGCACTTTGTGAGTATGTTTGGAAAATTAATCAACAAAATGTGTATACGATGACACGCGATGAGTCTGAAAAAGAAAAAGTGCTGATGGAATGAGCTCAGGAATCTCATTACATTCTTATCTACATTCTCCAAAATACAGCCTGTTACACCGGCACTTCACTTGGCCATTCGTATTTGCTATTTGCAAACTTGACAACAGTCTATCCTTAGCATACTTTATAAGGAATGAAAAGGACACTCATATTTATTACACAAGCACATAGTGCATGACATTGTGGGTTACCTATAATTTGAAGAGATGGCGCTGCCTTGCAGCTTAAGAATGGCTAGAAGAATTTCGACGCGGCCGTTAGGTCAGCGGTAGCATAATTGGTCAGTGTATTCGCCCGGATAGCGAAGGGTGCGGGATCGTGTCCCGTCTGCTGCCTGGTCCGCGTGGAATTTTTTCTAGTTATATTTTCTTTAGATTTAAACACTAATATCAAGTTTACAAATAGCCAAGTGGAGTGCCGGCATTAAAAACCGACGACATACAAACATCTTTGCGATGAGGAATCGGGTTTTGAAGTTTGGATTTAATTAGTCACTTGTCGCCAATGAGCTTTATGACTCGATCTATTGAAATGAGCCCTGCGGTCATAGTTTAGAGGTATATATGTGCTATAATGTGGGGGTTTCTTAATTTGCATGCTTTCTTTTAACTCTTTTGCATATTTAATGTTTATAATTGTGTGTTAGGTTTTGTTCAATTTATCGTTTTGTATATTATATCCACAAACCTGGAATATGCGCCAGTCATCCCCTCCTTCTACCAACTTCTTGGCACGCCGCGCGTTATGATGCACCACTTCATGCGCATTCTGCAGTCTGCTCTCCTGACGAGACACGCGTTCGCGGGCGGCGTCTAGATCGCTCTCCGATTCATTTCTAGATAAACATCATTTATGATCGTCAGCCTGTGAATGACGCCTCGCCATTGTGGGATAAAGGTCTTCCATATAAACGGAGTACGGATATTAGGCCGTAACACATCACGCGAACAAAGTTTGAATGGGTGTGTGCTAACGACATCAAATGCGGGACCAACGACTTAACGTAAACGATAAAATAGTGTAAACGGCGCTGGTGTCGCAACAGATGGCGCTGTAAGTCAGTGGAGGACAGTAGGGCGGCGAGATGGGCGAGGTTTTCAGATAAAGAATGCAAGGATATTTCTACATTACAATGCTATGATATAATGTAATAACCTCTGAATGAAAGAGTGTCACCGGCGCTGGTAGCGCGATAGATGGCGCTGTAAGTCAGTGGAGGAGAGTAGGGCGGCAAGACGGGCGCGATGGTCAGATAATGAATGCAAGGTCAAATGCGGCAAGACATGAAATGCGGGACCAACGACTTAACGTGACTTCATTCACTCCTTCCACCAGTTTCTTGACAGGGCGCGCGTTATTTTGGACCACTTCATGCGCATTCTGCAATCAGTTCTCTTGACGTGACACTCGTTCACGGGCGGCGTCTATATCGTTCTCGGATTCATCTCTGAAGTCTGTTTATCTGTCTTTTAAAGTCTGTTCTGTAATTAAATGAAATCACTCACTGTCTAGCAGTAAGTTGCTTGTTCTTGTCAGAAAGCATAGTGAGGCGTGAGCTCTTGTCGCTCACGAGTTGTTCCAACTCCGCTATACGACTGTTTTGCAGCTTCAGCTCGTCACGCATCTCGTAATATTGCTTCGTCAATCCGTTCAGCTCTTCGATTTCGGGAGCTATGACAAAGAAATGAAGTTGTTTAGGAAAATTTAAGCCCCCTGTTGGCGCCGCTGAGGTCTTTTATATGAAGTTAATCGAACGAGCATTTAAATTGTTCCATATACTAAAACGACATAGGTGATTTGACGGATGAGTGAACCTTTAGTCTCAGTGTGATGCATGAAGTGTTGATGCGCGGCGTGAACTACACGCAGCGTCGCTTCCAGTGCAGACATTTCCTTCTCGCGTCGACCGATGTCTGCGTCTAACGATCCACCGGTCATGATGCAGTGCCATAGATCGTGTCCCACTCTGTGCTCATATAAAGTGTTGATGTGACGTACTGTCAGAGGCGAGAGGCGACATGTGATGCATGAAGTGTTGATGCGCAGCGTGAACTACACGCAGCGTCGCTTCCAGTGCAGACACGTCCTTCTCGCGTCGACCGATGTCTGCGTCTAAGGCGGCGCCACGAGTGCGGAGTTCTGCACGTTCCGCGGCAAACTGATATAATAAGAGTTCAGTAAATTAAGAGTTATGATTTTTTTCACAAGCAGCAATATGAAAGTCTGATTAAAAGGGCATATTTTGTAAAAACAGCATTAAAATTAGTCATAATTAGGCATTATTTTGAATAAAAATGTGACAAGGGGGGAGAGCGATAGAAGAACTTATAGCTATTTATACCTTTGAAATGACTTGTTCCTAAAAAAACAACATTCAATGACTAATTTAGGCGATACACACCTTGATCTTGAAGAATGTAACTGATAACTGTTGGCCAGAATCATCTTTGCCTAACGATCCAATGAATATTTCATATCTGAAAAATAAATGAACAGGTTATTACTCTCAAAAAAATTTGTAACTGACGTGATCATGTCTACATAAACTAATCAAACCGAAACAGGAATGCACTACAGAGATATTATGATTTTTAAGTAGAAAATTTTATATGTCTTGATTTTAATGCAAAAACAATGAATCTTGACTCAAAGTCACCGGTAATCGAGTAACATTTTCTTTTCATATTACCTTTTAGGATGGAAGAATCCTTCTAACACTGGCAATACTGACCGTTTCTTGAGCTGGTCGATTCGTTGCTCCCTCTCACGTATCTCACACCGCAGTTTACCGCAGTCTTCGAACAACGCGCGCTTCTGTACGCTGAACATGTCGCGACGTGCCGCAATCTCCACCAGTCGCTCGTTCATAGCCTATGATTAAAAGGATATGTCAGAAAAAAAGTATGTGGTCTTTCAAGCTAACGACGATGAGCGACGGCTTAGAGCGACGCAACGAGCGAAGAGAATAAATTCAATATTTCTGATTCGCTCGACTTCAACGAGTGCTAGTATAAGCACAGGGCGTATTTTAAAATCTGGCACCCGAGCCACTTGAGATTCTTTCTAGCTATAGCGTTCTAGTGGGGACTCTCAATCTTAACAAAGCTTTTTCTACCATTAGACGTTACCGTTACCGATACCTCCAAATCTCATTATATTATGATCAGTGTTACCAGAAAGCCATTTAGCCTTCCCCCCAAAACGTACCCGAAATCCCCCCAAAATACAGGTTTTCGGAGAAAAAACCCCCCCAACATGCAAAATATTTATTAAAAATACAATATTTACTACAAAGTATGTATTTTTGCAGCAGCATCCATTACTGGAGCTTTATTTTTGAATCACTCGCCTTGCGTCAACCGCTCCGATTACTGCTATTTTTCATTCGACATAATTAATTCCGTATTGGTGAATCGCTCGAGTGCAACGAATGGGTGAGACCAATCGTTGCATGGCGAATGGTGGAGGCGAATGTTAGAATAATTGTCAAATTTGTGTTAGATGTTACGTGTCAAACTCGATTCACGTTTTGCAGAATTTCGTTGTATTTCGATGTTTACTATTTTTTGAAATTACGACCTTCTCTTGAGACTACCCTTGCATTTTTAAATCCGACCACCGATCAAGTATCCCGCGCTTACGATTACTTTCTTTTACGATAATCTATCCTTGTCATGCTTTATATGAAACATCAAGTTTACAAACAGCATTCACGAATAGCTAAGTGAAGGTCATAAAAAACGACAAAATACAATTGTATTATACAGCCATGTACTGATTCCATGTTCATTGCGGTAATGAATGTAAACTTATTCCTATTATGAAGTACTTACGGTATCCAGTTGTAGTCGCTGCCAGTCTAAAGTGAAGACAGTATCGTCTAATCGAGCCACGGCTCTAGCAGCGTGGGCTAGTCTCAATCTTAACAAAGATGCCATATCCTTGATAATTATTGACACACGAATGGTTTTTAAAGTAAAACTTTTTCTATTGTTTAATGATTATACTTACAGCATCCTACAATTGGGCTGAATGTAAACCTATTCCTATTATGAAGTACTTACCGCATCGAGTTGTAGTCGCTGCGAGTCTAAAGTTAAGGCAGTGTCGTCTAATCCAGCCACGGCTATAGCAGCGTGGGCAGTCTCAATCTTAACAAAGATGCCATATACTTGATAATTATTGCCACACGAATTGATTTTTTCTATTGCTTAGTGATTCTACTTATAGCATCCAATTGTAGCCGCTGCAAGTCTATAGTGAAAGCAGTATCGTTTAATCCAGCCACAGCTCAAGCGGCGTGGCCTACTCTCAATCTTAATAAAGGTACATTATCCCTGATAATTTGCACACGAATGAGTGAATGTAAACCTATTCCTATTGTGGAGTGATTATACTTACGGCATCCAGTTGTAGTCGCTGCGTGTCCAAAGTGAAGGCAGTATCGTCTAATCCAGCCATGGCTCTAGCAGCGTGGGCTACTCTCAATCTTAATAATGCTTCCTCAACTCGCAGACGACGCCAAACATCGCGTGACGTTTGCAAATCTTTGTCACCTCCTTCCACGTTCAACATGGCCGTTTTCAAGCGGCTTTGCTGAAATAAAAACTTTTAACAGTATATCTTTAAGTAATGAATAATCGAATACTGAGTAACTGCGGGTTACTTTGACCTAAAATGTGCACTTTTTTTTTCAAATACAATTGTAGCTTCTCTTTGTGATGAATATGTCACGTTTATATCTTTCCATTGTGAACTTTAAAGTATAAGTTACAAAGTTATCATACGCAAATAGGAAAAAATAATATTTAAGGGTTCATATATTTTTTTTAATTTTGGGCCAAAGTTGGACTTATAGAAGGTTACTTTAGCTCGTTGAGTTTTCTCTGTGAAAAAAACTCATTTTAAGCCATGTTGGGGTTAAGTAACTCTTATAACAGATCACCATTAGCATACTGAATACACAAATGGATGTTCTTACCCAAAAATAATTAAGTTAAAGAAAAAAATGTATACTTACTGAAAACAACAGTTTTGAGAAAGTTTGCGCATGAATTTGCGAACTATTTCAGTTACAAAAAATCCCGCGTTACAATGACAACTTGATACAGGAACGATGTCGGTAAAACAAAACCACACTACGCGCCTATATGGTTGTCTGTGATTTTCAACCGGAACTTTTACGGTCACCCAAGAGATACTGATGGGGCGGCAAGTTCAATATTTTTTCTGATTTGGGACAAAGTTACCCGCCCGAGCTAAAGTAACCCTCACTTACGGTATATAAAACGATTCAAAAAGATAGTACTCGTTCCAAAAATAATCATTAACTTTTTGTTGTTTATGCTGGCTATTCGTATTAGCTATTTGTATTTATTTTTTCAAGCTAATTGTTAATAGTAAATTAATTTCCCTTAAAATATTTATCCAACAACGTTCCTTACACTCTATTCAGAGAAACGACCAACACCAAGTAGAATGATTTCTTTATCACCTCTTCAATTTCAGAAAAAAAGTAGATGTCCTTGAAAGATCTGTATAAATTTTATTGACACTATCTCACGTACTAGTTTGATGTTGTCTGCATTCTTGGCTTCCAGATCGCGCGCTAGACGTCGCATATCATCGTGAAGTTTAGCAGAGTGGCGCTCTAGAAGGGCGACGCGGGCCGCGTGTCGAGCACAGACGTCCTTCAATCTATGAAGTAAAAGGGGCAATTTAGGACAGAATCTCATTGGGAATTGGCAGTTGGCAGGTACTCAGCTACTTTCTAGAAGAAAGAGCGTGTCGCGTCACGTGCAAAGACATCATTCAATCTACAACCAAGAGTGGGAGTTACAGCAGGTTTTAGTCAAGAGAGAGAGATAGAGAGAGAGCAGGCACTGAACTACGTTCTATTGCAGGCATTTATTGTTGGTGTAGTTCCTTCTAGATAGATCGCACTCATTTAGCAAGATGGACGCGCATGCTCCGTGACTAGGACAGACGTCCTTTAATCTACAAAGTAAAAGGGGTAATTTATGGCGGGATTTAGTCATTTAGTTGCAGTTATTTAGCAAAGTTTAAGTGACGCATGTCGCATACCATCCTACAAAGTACAATTATAAATGGAAGTTTATGGCGCGATTTATTCAACAGAGAGTCAACTACCTTCTAGAAAGGCGAGGCGTCACGCAACGCGCAAAGACATACTTCAATCAACAAACACGGGTGGGAGTATATGGCGCTATTTCTTCGAGATAGTTCGCGGTAAATAATATCAAATTTATATTTGGTTAAATATAATTAGATTCTGTTCTGTTGTAATAGAATTCTAAAGTAAATACCAACTAATCATCATCATCAGACTATTAATGTCCCCACAGCTGGGGCACAGACCTTCCCTACGGATGGAATAGGGAAATCTCCCTATTCCATCCGCCCAATCAAGCCCAATCGGGCTATCTACCCACCACGCGGGCCAAGTGCATATTGGCGGGGGCTAACAACTGCAGATGCAGCTGGGACCAACGGCTTAACGTGCCTTCTGAAGTACGGAGGAACTCGAGATAGAAGATTTATGGTCACCCATCCAATGACCGACCACTGCGAAAGTTGCTTAACTTCAACAATCTCAGCCGATAGCGCTAACCCAACTAATAATGACCATAATCATAGTAGTACCGCTGTTTTGTAGTATTATACTGACCTATTTTCCCTGCCGGCGAGTTGTTCGGAACACTCGCGCTCAGCCTGCGCACCCTCCATGTGAGCGACGCGAGCTCCAATCGTCTCCACTTGGTAACACTACGAAGATAAAAATATATCATACTAGCTATGCCCCACGGCGTTACCCGCGGTTTTATAGAGATAATTTCCTGCAGTAAAACGTAGCCTGTTAATCCAGGGCGTCAGCTAACCCCATACCAAATTTTATTAAAATCGCTCCAGCCGTTTAGACGTGAAGAAGTAACAAACATACACACACACACGCTTTCTAATAATATTAGTGTGATTATTATATTTCCAACATACGCACTATGCTTCATAAAACTTTAAATAATAAAGAATGGTCCTGATTCTGGCATTATTTATTAAACCAAAAACTAAATTTTGAATCTAGAGAGCGTAAGTTCACTTATATTTTTTTATTGTTCATATAAGGATAGCAAACAAGACAAATATAAATTCCAATTTAATGAAATTTCCAGTATTAAGCAAAAGTTTAGATAGGAAGGCAATATTTTTGCAAAAAAGATTTCAAAATTGCCTTCGCGGTATGTTTCCCAGATGCAAACATCGAAACTCCCACCAAATACATATTTATTTATACGTAGGGGGTATGGGGCCCTATCAATAAAAACAGGGATTAATAAGCATAATCTGGTTCAGCACAAATGTTTTCAGCACCAGATAAACACAACAAGCCAACTGTATTTGGATGAGCTTTTTTTATGTTTCCTAATATTTTATTACTTTTTGGTTATATTTGGACAATAGAAGATCCTTTAAAATATTTTTCGCTACAAAATAAAAATTACTTACTATAGAATAAAGACCCTCCTTTTGACTTTGCAAGTTCTTCTCGATATTTCGTTGTTTAGTATCTAGTTTACTCATGACCGCTTTCGATGCTGGAACAGAAAAAAAATCAATAGATTGTCGCGTATGATACTCGTGACGCTCGTAGCGTTTCAGCCTTCTCCGAGTTACCCTCCAACTTTCATGCTCGTCGGGCAGAGCTGCGCACGCATCCCATACACAGAGACATATATATAGACGTGTGACGCTCGTGACGCCTTTCCGTTTCATCTTTTCCAAAGGATTTTTCCATTAACATCCCGTTCGAAAACAAGTTCCACTTCAACAACACTCAAGTGAAAACAAGTGCAACAACTTGGTAGGTAACGTGGGTATAAGGTGTAACAAACGTGATGAACAGTCGAGTGAAAACTGGTGTTTCAACTTGTTAGGTATATGTAACGTGAAATTACAATAACGACTCTAATACACAGGTATAAGGTTTAAAGTACCCTTGAGCTACATATGGAATAGTTTCTCCTCGTTCATAAGGGCGAGCAGCTTCTGTTGCTCCACGAGGGAACTGACCACTCAAGTGAACACTGGAGCAACATCTTTAGGAAACGTGAGTTTTACAATACAATAACAACTTTACTACATGGGCATAAGGTATAATAAACGTGATGAACACTCAAGTAAAACAACTTGCTAGGTGACATGTGTTTTATACTACAATATCGATACACTACTACATGGGAATAAGGTGCAAAAAATTCTAAGCATAATTTAAAACTTGCCATATATATCGTGTGTTTTACATTACAATCACGACTCTAATACACATGTATAAGGTTTAAAGTACCCTTGAGCTGCATATGGAACAGTTTCTCCTCGTTCTTCAGTGCGAGCAGTTTCTGTTGCTCCACGAAGGAACAATGCATCGCCCGCTGTTGATTCACGGTCAACTGGCTCGCATAGCGTTCTTCATCCTAATACGCGTTATGAATACAGTCTACGTTATTTACTGAAATAGTAAGTTAGTTATATAAAAGACTAGCGGCCGCCCGCGACTTCGTACTCGTGGAGTTAGTTAGACATAAAGGTTCACTGCTCGTTCCCCGTAAGTGATAGCGTAAATATAAATTGTAGTCTATATGTTGACCCAACTTCTTAATAATATTCGTGCTAAATTTAAAGTAAATCCATACAGTACTTTTTGAGTTTATCACGGACATACATACAGACAAACAGACAAAAAATCTAAAAACTATATTTTTGGCCTTAGATCACACCCCGTGTTATTTAAAAAAAATATTAAATGTACAGTTTTGACTTTCCTTCCATTTTATTATGTGTATAGATAGTTTACAGTTTAAAGTTCGTTGAGTGGTTGACTTTGTCTTACAAAACAATGAATTAATAATGTTGCATACTTGCTCCAACTATTTATGTAAATAGCGGTTTGCGATATGATCTAATAACGTTTCCGATGGTTATAAATTATAATAGCTTATTACCTGTGGGTAAAGATTTACACAGTCAAGGTATAATCAGAACAATTAATGCTATACCTTATAGACACTTCGCATCCAATCCTTGAATTTAATAAAGCACTAAGCCTAACTACCTTTTAGTATTAGTATAATATTTTGAAGCATACAATAGGTAGTATTTGACAAATTTTAGAAAACGATGTCCAGTTGTTTACTTATGGTTATGGATATTCATCATTCTGTTGTGTATTTCAGTAAAATAACTAAATCAAAAATAAAATTTTCAAACGATACAATGCAATGTCACTTTGAACGGAAGTTTACTAGCGTGTGACGTCATTTAAGTCAAATGACAATAGAACAAAAACTCATTTCTATTCAATTTGTTTCAAAATTTATTTTTTCTTCCGAAATAGTAAAATCGCTGCTCATATTCATTTCAAATACGATGCCAATCTACCTATTAATATAAACTATTAATATCTATAGAAAATCGCTACTTCTAATACTTCTACTAATAAATTAAGGTAATAATGTTATGTATAAACAAAGTGCTTACATTCAAGATGTCTTGTAGTTCTTTAGCGCGCTTTTCAGAAGACTTGGATTTGTCCAATGAGTCTGTCAACTTTTCTTTCAGGTCCCGTATCTGAAATGACACTTAGTATATAAAGTAATTTTTAGCGATATGTATGTAATAAATTCACACAAAATAAATACATCGAATTATTTTGTGGCTTAAAGTGAGAAAATTTTAACTTAAATGACCAACCTTGCCATTTATCTTGGACAGTGTATCGTCTTTGCGATGTTGTTCATCCATAATGTGTCGATTCTCCATGTGCAACTTTTCGAGAGCATTTCGCAAGTGTGCGAGTTCACGCTGTAGGCAGTGCATCTGTGAACAAAAAGTGTTACAACTAACCGTAATATTGTCACAAACGATCTCGAACTAAAACCGCCAAATTACTGGATACAGATTTGACTGGAGCGCCGCGGATCGCGGCGTGAATCAAGTCGATAAAGGTCGAGTGGTGCGGTTCATTTTAATATGAGCCTTATGCAGTGCGTAGTAAAGGTAAAAGTACAAAGACAACTGCACTTATTTACAATTTAAGCATAAAACCTGCGTATAGGTACTAGTAGGTACTAAGAAACTCTCAATTGGACTGAACTTTTCTGGAATGCATCGATTGGCATATAAGGGCATTCGGCACCGTACAGTGAACAGTTGAGTTTCAATAGCGATTTCGGAACGAATGATTAGAAAGGCGTTTAGAGTGCTAGTTAAATGTGAAACACTTGTATAGTGTACAGTGCGTGTAGCATTGTTTGTCGAAGAAAATATCACACAGTTCTTTCTTAAATGAATTGTGTGGTGAATAAAGAACAGTCAAGCGTGAACTAGCATATAATTTCGAACTTAATCCCAACACGTAACAATATTGTTAAGGGTTCGCTTTCTATAGAGTGTGAGCGTTCATAAATCTATTTTGAAATAAGATTGGGAATCGACTCGAGTAAGTCAAGCTCAAGATAATTATTTTTGGTCACATAACCTTTAACGGGTCATTACAAAAGTAACGCGCTAACCACTTACGCCAACGAGCACCTTGCTTGCTCTATCAATGAATAAATATTTTCTTACGCAAAAACTACTAGATATCGTACTCACATCGCTATCCTTCCAGCAGGAAGCCCTCGTCCTAATATGGCAGAGTCGTCGCGCCATCGCCATAATCTCTCTCGCTCTCTGAAATACTAGATCACACTCACATCGCTATCTAGTGCAGTATCCTGTACAGAAGCTGCTGGAAGGACGTCCTGATGTGGCAGAGTCGTCGCGCCATCGCCATAATCTCTCTCGCTCTCTGAAATACTAGATCAAACTCACATCGCTATCTAGTGCAGTATTCTGGTCCAGAAGCTGCTGGAAGGACGTCCTGATGTGGCCGAGTCGTTGCGTCATCGCCATCATCTCTCTCTCTCTCTGAAATACTAGATCACACTCACATCGCTATCTAGTGCAGTATTCTGGTCCAGAAGCTGCTGGAAGGACGTCCTGATGTGGCCGAGTCGTTGCGTCATCGCCATTATCTCTCTCTCCGTATCCGCGTTGTTCCCGCGTTGTTGGTCGCAGAAGGTTTGCTGTTCACGACACTGTTCCGCTATGTTCTTAGCTTCCGTGTCCAATACGACGTAATCCTGGAATTCAATATAATATTACAATAGAACGCCGATTATTCGAACGTTGATTAACCGAATCGCCAACTATCCGAATCAGTCCTAAGCGTAAAATAAAAAATTAAAACCAAGTTAGTTTTGTTTTGTTGTAACAAGTTGGAACTCGTTGGAATCCATATATATTTCAAATATTATGGTTGAAAGCTTGAGGTAAAGACACTAGGATGTTTTGCGTCGCGCGGTTTTTTTTTTGCTACTATGTACCTCTATTATTGTATTTAGTATTGTAGAACTGTGTTTGTTAAATTTAATAAGGTTTATTCTATGTGTGACAGTTCGTTTTTCTTTATTGTCAGTCTATGTCCGATTCTCCGAATTTTCGATTATCCGAATCGACCCCGGTCCCAATAATTAATTCAGATAATCGGCGTTCTACTGTATTTTCTTTTCTTGTTTCTAAAGAGACGGGCGAACGGTTTGAATTAAACCTTACATGTTTGATGTGGGTTTGAACGGTTGTCAAACGGCACTGAGCCGAGATCGCGATTTCCACAAAAAGCGAAAAGAGAAAGTGAAACCACTGGTCAAATACAACAACAATATAGAATTTCATCAAACCAGCTTCAAACGCGTTAATGTTTAACAAACCGCGTTTTTTCTTTTTCAATCAAACCGTTTGATCGTTTCGGGACCCTTTATATATTCCCAATATTGATTCACTTTCACCGATCACTTCAAAAAATATGAAATTGTATAAATGAAAAAAAAGCGCGACATAAAAGTTCAATCTATTACTTGACGGTGGAATTCATATTTCATCAGTCTAGGCTTTTACAAGTTCATGTAAGTCAAACGTTATGCCATAGGTTATACCTCACGAATATGCCTAATATCGGTATCTCTCTGTCTGAGATTTTCCACGGCGTTAGTCCACATCATCATCATCTGCTTCCTTTGCTCCATGCCCTCCATCACCTATGGGGTAGTCAAAATATTAATTTTAATATAGTCAAAATCTACGTATAATCTTCGTTATGTGTGAATAGGATATTTATGAACAGTATCATCATCATCAACCTATTAACGTACCCACTGCTGAGTCACAGGCCTTCCCTATGGATGGAAAGGGAGTCAAGACCCACGTAACGCAGGCCCAATGCGAATTGGTGGGTGCTAACGACCGCAGACACAGCGGCTTTACGTGGCTTCCGAAGCACGGAGAAGCTAGAGATAGGAAATTTTTGGTCACCCATTCAATGACCGACCACTGCAAAAGTTGCTTGACTTGAACGATCGCATCCTAACGCACTAACCACTTGTGCCATAAGAAAATATAAAATCCAGAAAAGAACAAAACTTACTGACTTTATCATCATTGTGGCTAAAACCAAAAGGAAGTAAGTGAAGATGCGTTGGCCATGTTCGCAGAAACAATTGGCTGATGGGAAAAGATTATAGGTTCTCGAGTGGTAACCAAGAACTGATTACTGAAGTGTAGGCAGGCCACAAGCGACGGACAGACGATCTTACGAAAATAGAGCTTAAGCAGTGATTAAGAATAGCCCAAGATTTATATACCTAGATAATACATGGTGCAGGAAGCTTCACACTGGATGGCTACTATTGTCTGAAGAAATATATATATATACTAGCGGCCCGTCCCGGCTTCACACGGGTGTTTTAAATACTATGTAAATATAATGAATCAGCATTTATATCTAGAATACAAAGAAAAATTAACAACAAATAAACAAAAGGAAACAGTGGAAGAGCTTTTCACTATATAACGAAAAAACAATTTTACAAAAGCTACACAAACAAATTTGAAGGACGTAAATTCAATGAAAGAAAATTCAGTTCCACACGCATCGCTTAGGGAACCTCGGTTTTCATTCTACGGCATTCAATTTTCGATTTTTTTAAATTTTCGAATACTGCTTACGTCACGTTCTATTGTGTCTTGCGCTTGTTCTTTTTTTTTAATATTGTATTGGTTCTGAAATGAGAAAGTCTGAAGCCACTTTTTTATAATCTATATATATAAAAATGAAACCCGTTTTCCGTTGTCACGACATAACATGAAAACGGCTTGACCGATTTGGCTGTTTTTTTTTTAGAATATTCCTTGAAGTACGAGGATGGTTCTTACGAAGAGAAAAATTAAAAAAATGCCTGAAAATGTCAAAAAACAATACTTTTCTTTACTCCCATACAAACGATTCGTAATAATACTTAAAAGTCAATTTGAACTTTAATACCATACCATAAATTTCAAATGTTAGTGGAAAGATTCTGGGAAGGCAAAACAATTGAGCGACGTGATGTCAATAGAAGTTTGGAAAAGATAAATATTATACCATCTTCAGTTTTTTTATAATCTATATATATATATAACTTAAAGGTGACTGACTGACGTAGTAATCTATCAACGCCCAGCCTAAACCACTGGACGGATCGGGCTGAAATTTGGCATGCAGGTAGATGTTATGACGTAGGCATCCGCTAAGAAAGGATTTTGATCAATTCTACCCCCAAGGGGATAAAATAGGGAATGAAAGTTTGTATGAAACTTTGTCAATTTTAAAACCGAACGGGCTGAGACTTTGCATGCAGGTATAAGAATAATCATAGATGAATGTCATTGTGTATAAAACAAGCCTGAGAACAAAAACTGTAGTCTACGCTTCAGCTCTACACCGAAGCGAAGCGAGGGCGGGCCGCTAGTTATTTATATAGGTATGGAGCATTACAATGTCACCATCCGTATATTGAATATCTATAGAAATACCTACTATATAGCTGTCCCAGCGAACTTCGTACCGCCATAAAAAATAGGGGTTGGTGGTAGAAGGGTGAAAATTTAAGGTTGTATGTATTTTTGTATGATGATGGTCCAAAAAAAATTGTTTAAGTAGGGACCACCCTTAACATTTAGGGGGATGAAAAATAGATGTTGTCCGATTCTCAGACCTACTGAATATGCATATAAAATTTCACGAAAATCGGTCGAGCCGTTTCGGTCGGCTAATAGTTAAAACTGTCTTTCTTAGTTATTAATAAAATGTGAAAAAATAATTATTGCACTGGAAATTAATAATAAATTCACGGTGAGAGTAAAATTAACGTAATAGATGCACAGAAAAATTAAAATAATACGTATAAGTCACTGCTACGATCGATACACAAATGAAACCAAAAAAATGGTCGAAAACTGTATATTGAGGAAGACAGGAGACCGGCTTCCTTCTCATCCTTACTCCGTGATGTTTGCTGGATGAGAGGTGACCCAGGTAGACATCTAGCGGAGATAACTGATCGATTGTTCGTTGATCGGTTATCGACCGGTGAAGGCGGAAGATCAAATTGAATTGAGAAAAAAATAAGAAATTATTAAAAATAAAAATCGCGATGGTAAAATAGGGGTTGATTGTAAAGGGTTGAAAATTCAGGGTTATATGTATTTACTAATGCTGTATCATAATTTTTTTTTTATCTAAAATTGAAAAAAAAATTTAGGGGTGGATTACCCTTAACATTTAGGGGGATGAAAAATAGATGTTGTCCGATCTGTCCCAGCGAACTTCGTACCGCCATAAAAAAATAGGGGTTGGTGGTAGAAAGGTGAAAATTTAGGGTTGTATGTATTTACTAATGCTGTATCCTAAAAAAAAGAAAAAGAAAAAAAATATCTAAAATTGAAAAAAAAATTTAGGGGTGGATTACCCTTAACATTTAGGGGGATGAAAAATAGATTACATCCGATTCTCAGACCTACTGAATATGCATATAAAATTTCACGAAAATCGGTCGAGCCGTTTCGGAGGAGTTTAACCACAAACACCGCGACACGAGAATTTTATATATTTGATAAATCGAAAACGCGGATACTAAGGATGATGACTAATTTCTTTTTTCTTCGTTTATCAGGTAGATAATCTTTTTTCACATAATATAAACATTGCAGAGATATATTGATTTGAAAAGTCGAATGACGTCACGTTTTGGTACACTTTTAAGTGAAAATTCACTAAAAAGTGACGTCACGAGCCCCTACTCCCAAACTTTGACGCGCTATAACTCTTTAATTTTTTGGTTGATTGCCCAAAGAAAAAATTCGTGTCCATTATTTTTTGATCATCTAACTGACGGACTAAATAGAATTTCGTTTACTGTACCACGTCATCACCCCTATTAGAGAACGGCTATAACATCGCTCAATCTTACTGTTAACGTAATTAACCTAGTCTAAATCCAGGAATCCAAAAAATCTAAGATTATAATAAGCCAACTATTTTTTTCGCAATCTTACTGAGGCGGCTCCGGTTTTCGCAAAAATCATATCTTTTTTCAGTGAGATTGAGAAATGTCATCGCCATTGTCCAATAGGGAAGATGCAAATCTAATATTTATGAAATTTTTATGATTAAAATGTTATTGTTTATTAACAATAATTACGATTTAAAACGAATTGAAGAAAACGTATTTTAAAACACCAATCAGCGTTCAGTGACGACACTCCTGTTATGAAAACTTATTTGAGGTTATGGTTGTAAAAGTGAATATTATTTTATGGGAATATTAATTGCGTTTTTTTGATAAAAATGGAAGTTGGGTTTATTAGAGCAGACCCCAGGAATTTACTAAGAGTTAGTGTTGACATGGTTGTAACTTTTTTTTTACGAAGTGCAGAGTTTTCAAGTGTAGAAATGAAAGGAACTAAATTACTAGGGTATGTATAAATCATAGTTGTGAAACTCTGTATTTTATTCAGCGGCTTCTACACATAGCAGTTATTTCAGCTCAACAAGAGAATCTTACGGCGATAACGCAATCGGCAATGTCCAAATTAAAAGAGATGGAGAATTATGTACAGTAAAAAGTCGAGTTACTCCGGAGCATAAGGAACGTAAAGAAGGTTATCGTGTTACAGTTATTTTAAATGAAAGCAAAGCTTAGTTCAGTCCTGCCAATGTGAAGATTGTGCCACACATTTTAAATTTTATCCAATTTTCGACGTCATTCTCCAACTGTAAAATTAAAAAATATGATAAAGACAGGTTTTGTAAGTATTAAGTAGGTTACTAACGTGTTTTTACGTACAAGCAGATTAATTAAGCATAGAACAAGTCGCACCTTTAGAATTGAAGTGACCTAATCCAAAATTCTTGTTTTTTGGTAAACGCTAAAAATGCGATTGACAAGTTGTCTATTTTTTAGTTTTTCTAATATAAGGCTATAAATTATACGTTTATTATCATATTTTTTATTGTTAATGGTAGGATAGGAATTGTTGTCACGATTGTTTACTAAACCAGTCTGTATAACTAATCAGAACCTTTATTAATTAATCATCAAAAAAAAAACATGTCACTTATTTTCCGAAAACAGTTTATTATAATTAGCTTATTTCACTTTGTGCCCATTTTTTACTAAACAAAATAAAACAAAAAATGTTACTATTTAATATAGTGGCGATTCATTTCTAATGTTATATATTTGATAGATGATTGTAATATGCTAGTTTAATAATTAATGATTTTCTAAATTAAAGGAAAATGAAATAAATGCCCACGCAACACTGAATGGGGTAGGTACTTCAATACTGAGGGAGGCGCGGTATGCATGTCATTTAAAAGAGACGGAAATAGTACGTTTGTCTTCTTCTGGTCTAAAAGAGCCTGTTTATTATTAATAAACTGATAGAATACATGTTTTTATGTCGTTTCACGTTTAAAAGTCATTTTGCTATTGTTTTTATTTAAGTCACTTTAATTCTATAGGTGCGAAGTATATTCGCCGACTTACGTCAAAGTGATCTTCACAGCATAGAATAATGGTCTTTGAAGAATAATTGTCATTTCTCTTCGCAGCTTAAAACCACTTTTTTCTCAGTTTTGGGTCAATTAAATTAATTCAACCAAAAATCAAAAACAATTTATTTGGAAACTTTGTTGAAGTAGATGGACACATTAGCACAAAACATGAGTCAACACGGCTTTTTTTCGGAATATTAGTGGTATTATTATAATCACCTGATGTTGATGGATAGTCCATTTTAAATTTTTACAAAAAAATTATCTCGAAAGTCGAAAAATTATGCAAAAGTATCCCAGCGACGAACAAGTACGACCAGTGACAGACAGGAGTGACGTCATCGGAACCATAGGTCCGTTTTCGCGCGAAAATTTAAACTGTCAATTTAAAACCGCATTTTTCCGATAAATTACAGTGTTTTAATTTTTTAAAATATCTGTTGTTTATTCTACATGGAATTCTTTAAAATGAAAACAAAAATAAAAATATTGCGTCTTCCCTTTTATCCGCGTATTCGCAAAGTCCCTAGGATTTTCGCGAAAATTCGATATATTAAATCATCCTACGACGTCATTACGTAAATATCATATATAACCTGTTCAGAGATCCTTTCACAAGCCCGTTCTTCGGCACTGAGGTTGGACACCAGCTGATTGAGGCGTTCGTGCATGCGGTCATGTTCTTGCTTCAATTTCTGCCTCTTAGTTTCTAAAGCCTGGATATAACAAGTCACAGGTACAGTAAAAAGTTAATAACACAAGAAAACATAATATTATTCTCATAACATTTGAATATTATTAGATTTATATGAATAGATAAGGTACTTCTATATTGTGTAAGGTAGTGACAGTTGATCACAACGATTAAGTTTGAAAATGGACTGGAGATGCGTCAATTTTTTGCATAGTGTAAAGAATAACTTACGTTACCTTTTAAACTTCCTGAAGAAAACAAGTTGAATAAAAATTTTACTATATTTTATTTTTAGGTGACAAGTAAGAACCTAAAGTTCAGACATTAAGAAGTTTTATTTCCTACTTGTCGCGAGGATCTCAAAGGTGAAATACAGTCATTCTTGTTTAGAAGTCAGTACTTGATGCAGAATTGTAATTTGGTACAAGTACAAATAAATAAATAATTATTTATGACCTCTATTATAGATTTTAAAACAGCTTATTGGCAACATTAAAACATCGTCATAATTAAAAAAACATATGACAATTTATATAACATTAAAAACTTTATGTCTCAAAAAAATCAACTTACATGAATCTATTGTAAAAAAAATGCATTTCTTCGCAATAAAGCTGCCACCAGGACGTCCTAGTTAGAGATTATTATTATAATACGATAAAATAAAATATTACGATGTTTCGTTCAATATATTGATAGTCAACAACCTTTCCAATTTTATTGTTTTCGTCTTACGCCACGTGTCCTGGCGCGAGTATAACATTTTTTACCCATACAAAAAAAAGTGTACAACGCCGCTAAAGAAGTTTTCACTTCAAAAAACATTATTGTGCTAAATTTCATAATAACACTCCTTCGCTTTTTAAATCTCTTCCGCGCTAAGGGCTTCATCAGACAACCACAATTTTTACTGCTCGATGCGTAGTATTATAATTTAAAAAAAAAAGAACATTTCTACAACGTATTTTTTGTTTCTTAGGTTTTCACGCACATCACTCATTAAATAAAACTAGTTTTTTACGGGTTAATGCACCAAACGCAAACGAATTCCGACGACGCAGCCTGTAAAGGCTGCGAAACGTCAATAAATACATTAATTTATTTAATTTCTACAACGCGTTTCTGCCACAACGCCGAAACTTTTGGTGAATTTTAAGTTCTTAGAACGTCCATTGGTTTCAGATTTTTTTATAGATATCATGGGTGTATAAAGTTTTGAACGCAACTGTTCATAATTAGATATTAAAATACGAATGTGGGTTTATTACACGAAGCGAAGCCGAGGGTGATAATAGTATGACATGAGTGTTTTAATACCCCTCATTATACAGCAGTTGCACAAATAACTATTACAAAAACTGGCGATTCTCAGTTGTTTTTCGACCAAGGAAGCCATGATTACCTTAGCTTTAGAGAGGTCTTGTTTCGTAAACTGCTCTATAGCAGAGATGTCGCCAGCACTTCTCTCCAGCGCCGCCCGCCATTCTTGCAGCGCGCCGCGTTCTCCACACACTTCAGTCTTCAGGGAATCTGCTTTCTTCAGTAGACGAGCAATGTTGTCTGACAAATTGTATGCATGAATCAGTAACAGTTTGTTTGATAAATAAGAATAGTTGACTTACAATGATCTCAATACACTATCTGATAAAGTCCAAATCCGCTTTGAAGCCTTTGAAAACAGCATGGATGTGGACGATCTTTACAACGTGTTGGTATATATGTCCGTGCGATAGGGCTCCAATACTTCAAAACCCGCCGTACCAGACTACAGAAGCTTTTCGACAAGAGAATAATGAAATGAGGTTACAGAAGAACTCAGCGGATGCAGGTTGGTACTGGTAGCTGAATAGGCAGATTTCTAAGTCTTTGATGAGCGACTCACGCCTACGCCAATTTAATACTAATCATAATAAAGAAGTAATGGAGGGTAAAATGGATCTAAAATGTCCATCGGAATCGAAGTCATCATCAAGTCAAGTCAATCAGTCAACATCCGAGTCGGAATCGAACAAACTGGACTGGACAAAGCTGGGAACTGACGACGGTAGCATCATTTCAACTAAGACTGAAATCCTAAGGGATATTGAGAGTATGTACGATCAAGAATGCAGAGTACTGCAGGCTCTTCAAAAGTGCCAAGAGGACTACAGGTATGATTTACCAATTAGAGAGCAAGGGCTATAAACCTATCTAACTTCAACGAGGCATAAGACAGGAGGATTTTAAATTTTCCAAACTATTTAAAGCTGCGTTGGAGTATAATTATAAAGCTTCTTGATCGGAAAGGACGCGGAAAAATCAATGGCGAGTACCTAACACACCTTCACTTTGCTGATGATATAGTATTTGTCTGTGACCTTGAAAGACTCTAACCAGGCCCGTAGCTAGAAGGGGGGGGGGCATTAGGGGTTAATGGCCTACCTAAAAATACCATTGCCCTACCTTAAAACGGAGGCAGGCTGCAAAAGGCGGGCGGCACGCCCCTGCTTATGCCCTACCTGTAATTACCGCTGCCCTATCTTAAATAAAACTCTGGTTAGAGCTCTGTCTTCAACACAATGCTGGAAGATCGCAGTAGTGAACTGATGGCGTCTAAAGAACATGAAAACGGCGAAAATCTTGTGGTACCCAAGGCTTCCCATATAATTGGGAACAGCAGACTTAATATTGTTGACCATTATTATGTTTGCCTACTGTTCAGTAAGGCAAGTCCAACATTGAGAAAGTAATCACGAAGCTATGGAAAATCTGCATAGAAATTAACTCAGTACCCCAGAATAAAATTTTTTTCATCTGCATGTTGTGTACCATAATTTTTTACTATGACTTAATGTAATGTCGCACATATAAATGGTATAAATTAAAAATCTAGCATTTTATACTATCAGTCTCACATTATCAAATAAGTGACACACTTATTCTACTTTTTTTTCTTCTTTTTTACTGAAATGTTGCAATCGAGGCATATCTTAGATTAAAAAGCGTTCCACAGAAGAATGCCCCAACTGTAATGCCTTTTTGAACTTGTTTTTTTACTTATTTAGATTGTTAATCTGCAGATTGTTTTCTTAAAATATTTATTGCTTCCTGTAAGTAGATTTATAAATTCAATAACAAAAAAATAACTGCCCAAAAGTAAAAATAATAAACCTTTTTAATCTTTAGACAATTAAGATAATATTTTAGACCTAAGAGTTCTAAGAGTTATCAACCTAGCAGTTTATTGCTTAAAATCTATAGATTGTTATCTGACAGGGACTATCCTTTTTTAGATTTACATTTTGGGACTTTTTAATTTTGGTATCTGTCTGCTTAGTTCATACAAATATGAGCAGTTACAAAGTGAACTATACTCTGCAATCTGTCAATCCGATTGTTGATGTCCTTGCTCTGCTTGGCACAGTCAACAATATCCCGATCAAGCCTTTCAGCCTCATTGCAAGACAGCTGTCGAAGCTTCACCTCTTGCTCCAGCTGCTGCTTGTGAGCAAACAGCAATCGCTAAAATAAATGCAAATACTTCATTTTAATTATCACTCATTAGCCGAAACCTCAATCAAAGAATGTTATTATATTTCACTTACAGTATTTTCTTGATATTCAGTATGAACATGGTGCTTGTATTTATTAAGGTCATCTCTTTTTTGGTTTTGAAGAATCAGAGTTTCCTTAAGACGCTGTATTTCATTCTGCCTAAAAATAACAACGAAATTGTGAGAAAGCACTTTTACAGGAGAATATAAAAAAAAACCGGCCAAGTGCGAGTCGGACTCGCGCACCGAGGGTTCCATACAAACCTGCAAGGTTTACAAAGTTCGTTCATTACGACAATCGAGTCATAACTATGTTTTAATTCCCTTGCGTGTAGTTGCGAGTTTCAAAATATGCGGTATCAATGGTTGTACTTTTGCGTTTTGCGTTTTTGCGTTGACTTAGAATTTTTTTTTTTCACGGGTTAGATCTAAGTATTTGATATGAATTTCAACTTGATAGCTCTACGCGTTCATGAGGAAAAAAGTAATAAGTTTATATTTATTAAAAAATATATATTTTGTAATGTAACTAAAAATTTAAGGTTTTCGGAATTTTTCCTTTATGTGTGCTATAAAACGTTGCTTCATGCCAAATTTCAAGATTCTAGGTTGACTGGAAGTACCCTTTAGGTTTTGATTCCCTTGCGAGTACTTGCGAGTTTCAAAATATGCAGCTTAAATTGCTGTTTCTTTTGATTGCGTTGACATAGAAGTTTGATTTTGTTACAGCTTAAAGGTATTATAGACCTGAGTATTTGGTATGAATTTCAATTTAATACCTCTACGCGTTTATGAGGAAATGGGTAGTAAGGTTAAAATTATTAAAAAAAAATATATGGTTTTCGTAATTTTTCCTTTATCTATGCTATAAGACGTTGCTTGGTACCAAATTTCAAGATTCTGAGTTCACGGGAAGCACCCTGTAGGTTTTGATTCCCTTGCAAGTGTCGAAAATTTGCGGCATAAACGGCTGTATCTTTTGATTGCGTTGGCTTAGAAGTTTGATTTTTTCACAGCTTCAAGGGACAGTAGACCTGAGTAATTGATATAAATTTCAGCTTCATACCTCCACGCGTTCCTGAGAAAAAGGGTCTTGACAGACGGACGGACGGACGGACAGACGGACAACAAAGTGATCCTATAAGGGTTCCGTTTTTCCTTTTGAGGTACGGAACCCTAAAAATACTATGAACATGCACTTACCTATCGATCAGTACAGTTTCTAGGATCTGATTGTCTGGATTTGCCAGAGGTATTCTAATGCCTTGGTTCCAGCCCAACTCTTCAAGGAGTTGCGTCATGTAGCGAGGTACTGTCACCTGCTCGCCCATATTTTTCTAACAAACCTTTTATCACAACAAACTGTTTGATTTCAACAGTGAAAATGTAAAAAGGTTCATTGGGTGTTTGATCAATAACATAAAAGTCGAATTGTTAATCGAACAGATTAGCCGCCATTATTTCAAATTCAACGTAACAAAAGAATAATCAAAAATCATAAATCCCACAACAACCAACAACAAGCAATAATGACAACAAAAACTTGACAAAAACAGCTGAGTGAATTTGACATAAAGTTTGACAATCGAAAGGAAAGAGAAAAGAGCATAAGAAAAAGAGATAAAACATGGCGTCTCATAGTGACGTTCTTTGGAAAACCGACTTTTTGAAAATTTATTTTTCTTTCTGAATACTTCAAAATAGATATTTTTATGTAAATTTTATCACATTTACACTACATAATTTTTAATTATTATAATCAAATATCATGTATTTAATTTAGGCTGTTACAATTTCAAAACGCACTCAAACAATTCCAAGGCTGGAACTGCAGGCAGCAGTGATTGCGATAGAGTACATTATTATATACTAGTAATAGAGATATCAGTTAACCTGAGCATATAGCGCCATCTAGCGATTCATGACATAATCACAAGTCATGTACTACTGAACCGGTACCGGCACCTTTAGATGCGATTATTAATATGAAAAAAGGAAAAAAACATACTGTGTTAAAGCTACATTATTAGATAATTTACCTACTATTCGTTTACACAGTTTTTTTTGATAATTGTCTAAAAATGTAGCTTTAACACAGTCTGTTAGAATAAATAAAGAAGTTTTATAAATCAATTATTTTTATTTATATTATTAAATATTTGCATGACATTCTTTTAATATCATCTTTAAAATTTGTACAATAGGCTAGTTGACCCTTTTTGGAAAAAGGTTTTAAATGGTTAATAAATGTTCTATTAGACCGAAAAAAAATGTGTTGTATTTTTTTGAAACCTAAAAAGCTACAAATCTTTAATTTTAAAATAGACTTTTCATGGACATACAAAAACGCTGTCGGCCATTTTAGTCTATAGATTATCTATGCTATGACGTGAACTGTGGTAAACAAAAACTCATAAACACGTAGAAAATTACTTTTAACTGAGTGTAAAATAAAAAAAAACATGATTTCTAATAAATACCACGAAAAATAAAGTAATTATCATTACTGTATTGTACGAGAATATAAAAACACATCCTTGAAGACTCCAGGAAAGTTGTGGATTAAAGTGCCGAAAGAAATTAACCTACGCAACTTTATTACACTTATTAATATGTTGTATCAGTTTTATGTTTATTACTACATTGTAATACTAAATGCACTCTATGTAAGCATAGATGCCTTGTCGTTTCTCTGCTCCGCAGAGCAGAAATCGGGGTTTAGTGCAACAAATTCACCAACCATCAATGCGTCAATTCTTGGCAGATTTGTGCTTTCTGCTTTCACAAAGCCGGCATCCATAATTAGTTTAGTCAAAAAAAACTAAGTTTACTGTTTTTTTCTTTCCTAAAGTTAAGTGTTTTAAGATAAATTTAGTCAGACGAAAGAATCCACCTACAGTAACACACGAATGACATTTAGTTGTTTACCACAAGAGACGTCAAAATCATGGCGGATGTGGCGAACAGCGTTTTTAGTGTTTAAAAAATATAGACTAAAAAATATTTTTTAAAATTAAATTTCTACAGCAATCTTCTGCTTTTATGAAGTGAAATCGATATATTAAGGTTCCTTAGACTAAACACTTTAAGAAATAAACATTTATTTAATACAATTCGACATGAGTAAACTAGCCTATTACGCAGCTTTATGGTGCCGTTTAATAATTTAATTACCTCACCACACCAGTTAAATATAAAAAATCTACAAGTCGGATCTATCATAAAAGTTTCATTGCTTTCTTTAGGCGTGTTGTGTATTTGATTCTTTTCAGTTAGCTTCTTCACCACTTTTTTTAAGTTAGTTACACTTTAATCCATTGCAGATACTGAAAAAAAGCATTTCAATAAAATTAGTTTCACTGTGAGGTGAAAAGTCTTAATTTTTTTTAACTAATTATTATTAGTATAAGAAAACTAAGTGGAAGGTTCATTTCTTTATGTAATGTCTACTTAATAACTAAAACATGACTAAAGCCCATAGAGGTAAGTTTAAGAAAAAAGCTAACAAAAGAATAAAGATTTGGATAGGTGCTCTCTAAAATATAGATAACATATTTCTGATATATTTTTTTTTAAAGTCAAGTTAATAAAGTTATCAAATAATTATAATAGACAAAAATACTTATATAAAAATAAAAATTACCGGTAAGCTTATTTTTACTTTGTATCTTCGATTTCTTTACAGCGTTTTGTTGTAATTCTAACTTTTCAGTCAAAACACCACCTGCAAAAAAAAATTATATTAAAACAAAAGAGAATAAGGGAATGGTTTTACTGATTTGTATATCTGAAATTTGATGCTTCCATTCAAACATTCAAAAAGAATTTTGCCCCTACCAGGATTCGAACCCAGAACTTTACAGTAGGTATTGACAACCAGTGCACATTCCACTCTACCAGAATGTCAGTGATATAAAAAATGATTTGTAAATAAATAAATAAATATTTACTAGTGGATGTAGAAGGCATTGAAAGCTGAGAATGTTCAATTTCTTGGTCAATATTCATTCTGTTGGTGACATCTGTTAAAACACTCCTTGGTGCACCAAATCCTGATAATAAAAAAAATATTTAGCAATTTATATAAAAATCACATTCAACTCAATGATTTTTATTAAGAGACCATTACATACACTCTTTACTCGATGTTTTAAAAGACTTTGAAATCAGCAATTTACCTAGCAAAGTTGGGACAGCATGTGGAGAAAGTGTTCTAGTCCAAGTAAGAAACTTGGTCTCAAAATGTTTTTGTCAAATTATTCCTTGCTTGAAAAGATAATTATTGTCCATAGCTAATATCTCTCCTCCGAGAGCGGAAGCCAAGTTCGGAATCGATCGGGGTGAATGTCAGGGTTAGGAAACGAATGCATTGGTATTTTATCTGCGCCTGAAACATTTGGTCAAATAGTTAAATCAAGAAAGGATTGATTGTTTATAGAGGTTCAATTATATGTAACTGATTGGTAATACGTACGTGTTACGTTGCAATTATGCACACAACATCTTCTCTGAGATGCCATTTTCGAGAATAACGAAATCCAAATAGTAAAGCCAACCAATAACCGATATGAAGAGCAAGGGTCAAAACGTAAAAGCAGGAGAATCGGAGTCCGGAAAAATAGCTGAAATCGTCGGAAAAACCACCAAAAATCACAAGTAAACATTAAATTCACGAAGCGTAAACAGAACAGTTTTTTTTTGTTACAGTTGTTTTTTTTTTAGATTCTTTACCCATTCTGGGTAGGCAAAGGGTACTGTGCCCATACAGCCAATTCTTTAGTTTATTATTTCAAAATAAAATCTGTTGTAAATAATATATGCTGATAAGCTGTATTTCTTCTTTCTTGATTTTTGTTACAGTCACTGACAGCCACAGGTATAATTTTGTGTTACTGTTTAAATATATATGAAGTTGGAGGAATACCTAATAATACGTAAAAAATATCTGAATAACGCCATCTAGTGAAATATTACATATCTAAAATTCGTTCTGTGATGTCCATACAAATAATTGTAGTTCGAAGTGAAAAGCCCCTGGTGATTGCAGCAAGACTCGCCGATCACATCAAGAAGGTGCATCGCATAGAGATCGGCAGAACAGTGTATTGGACGGACTCTTCTACAGTGATACACTGGGTACGTCACGATGATAAATAAAAGTTACACACCATTCGTGGCACATAGACTCGGCGAGATACTGGAACTCACGGACAGAGCAGAATGGCGATGGCTACCCACGAAAGAAAACCTGGCTGATGACGCGACTCGCATGTCCAACGAGCCCATTGTTGAGAAAAGCCGTAGGTTCCGAGGTTCACCATTTCTCTACGAACCCGAGGAACAATGGCCCACAAAAGAGACAAAGAGGAAGAGGGAGAAGTGGAACATGAAGTATTTCACGTCACCGAAGAAAGAGAAAAGAATGACTGGATACCGGACCCAACTCGTTTCTCTAAATATGAAACTCTGGTGCGAACTACGGCAAGAATTTTAGCCTTCATTGACATATGCCGATGAAAGGCCACACGGTTGGAATATGAACACATAAAGCGAGCAGAAGAGGAGCTCGTAAAGAAATCACAAAGAGAGTGTTTCGCAGAAGACATAATCAAAATCAAGACGCGCCGTCCGATTACAAGAAGGAATCGTCTTTTCCAACTGGATCCTGTGTTGGAAGACGGTGTGCTGAGAATGCGAGGTCGAATCCAAGCGGCCACCGTACCCGACCGTTCATCATTGTGGACGGTCGACACCGGATAACCAGAATGATTGTGATGCGCGCACATTTTGCGGCAGGTCACGCTAATAGAGAACACGTGACAAATGATCTACGCCAGAAATATTGGGTGATTCACCTGCGGCCCACAGTAAGGCTGGTAGAGAGAAAATGCACGCTCTGCGCGAACCGCAAGGCGACGCCGAAAACACCAGCGATGGGAGACTTGCCCCGAGCACGGGTGGACCCATTTCACCGTCCATTCTAAAACTACGGGGTGGATTATTTTCGGCCCATGATGGTCAAGATAGGACGACGCAGAGAAAAGAGGTGGGGCGCTCTATTTACGTGCCTGACATGATGCGCCTTACACATAGAGCTGGTGTCATCATTGCCCACAGATTCTGCGCTGATGGCACTTAGAAGAATTGCCGCCAGAAGGGCATGGCCCAAGATGATGTATTCAGACAACGCGACCAACTTCCGAGGGGCAGACCACCAGCTGAAAGCTGCAAACAAAGAGTGGGCTCCTGCGTTAGAAGAGGAGGGACGTTTGCAACGAATGGAGTGGCAATTCATAACGCCTGGGGCGCCGAACCAAGGAGGCGCCTGGAAGCGTTTGGAGCGGTCGGTAAAAAACGCACTGAGCGCAACGCTGAAAGAGAAGGCTCCGGCAGAAGAGATACTCCTAACTCTTTTGACTGAAGCAGAGTTCTCCGTAAATGCGAGACCACTGACACATGTGAGCTTG